GGTAGGTTGATGGATAATAATATCCTGACTGTTAAACTAGGATTCTCCTAGGAGACTATCCTATAATAGTCTAGACTACCCTGAGCCAGGCATCATATCTTGATCTAAATCTGTTATGCTTTTTTCTGTTGTGCTTTGTCAGCTGTCCTTTGCCCCAGGATTAAAAAAAAAAAAAAACACGCACACACAAAAAAAAACAACAAAGAAAACAAACAAAAAACAACAAAGAAAACAAACAAACAAACAAAAAAACTCCAACTTGCCTATGCGCTTTGGAAGAGGAACCTTCTTTACCATGGGAAAGCTCTTTCTGCTTGCTTTTTGATGTCGTCTTGGATTAGGAAAGCAATGTATTGTTCCCCCTTAACCTTGTTCAGGAGTTTGTTGTATGTTCTATTGTGCTATTTTTCAGAAAGATATTTGTTATTTTGTTTGAAAACTTATCTTTGAAGGACAGCAAAGCCAAAGAGTGCATTTCAGTTCTTTGTGTCTGTAAGAAGCATAGAGATCCATCAGCTATGTTTGAAGTATCTTGAAGTATGTTGTGAAATGTACAGATACTCAGTCAATTTGACTGAAGCAGCCATATCTGATGTAACTTCAGTTGCTTGACTTTATTCAGTGGGCTAATGATGATCAAAAATAAGCAGCTCATCCCCACCCCTTTCAAAAATAAACTGAAGGAGGAACAAAAATGATCCCTGCTTATATTTTATGTAAATAATACCAGTTTGACAACAAATAATGTACTGACTAAATTTCTTAAAATGCTTGGACATGTTTGCCGCAAATACAATTTCCGGTATCTAATACAGAAGTGTTAAAAAGCCTTTTCACTTGTGTACTTTTATAGTATAGGCTGTTTGCTAGAAGGGAGCTGAATGAGGGGGATTGTGGTCAAAATATCTGATCATAACAGTAGACAATATAAGATAATGCTGTGTACTGTGGGTCTGGATTTCAGAACTAAATTGGTATAACCCATAAAATTTCACCTTTACTCTTGGTATAATAATGAAGTTGAAACTGGTTAACGTATTCTTAAAAAACCACTACATTATCTTTCACATCTAAACATTTAAGTAGGCTAATGGCACTAGAAACATAGTAATGTAGCTCAAGGATAATAGTTGTAAATAACCTACATACTGATCTGTTTTTAGAGGATCAGACAACATATCAGTCTTACCTGCAGAACGATTCCATAATCTTTCATGGGACAAATCTGTGTTCACAGGAGTCAATAATATACCAAGTCCTGTCTGTTTGTAGGTCAGATAATTTTAATTCTCCATCTTGGAATGTATAAGGAAGAGCAGAACATGGTAAAGGGCTTAAACCGTTTTCCTTAATAGGATCATTTCTGCTATTTCATATGGAGAAAAAGCTAGTGCAAAGCAAAAGTCTTGAAACCAATTCATCATAAGACTTAGAAGTTGTAAGATTCATGTTCCCTTTAACAGAGATTCCTGAAGAAACTTTAAAATTAAGTTTAATCTAGCTGTTGCCAATATCTTACACAATCATATTCAAATTTTCTGTTCAATTAGGGTGCTAGGAAATAGTAAGCTCACCTTGAAGGAGGGAGTACTAGGTACATTATGGTCTGTAGGCTTTAGTTTTAGGTAAGTTGAAAATGAAATGAAGCCTTGAGTTAAGATTTATAAGTTGTTCAGAAGGCTGAGGTAAAACCAAATTTTGGTAGGGAAAAGTAAACTCTCAAGGGTTAAGGAGAACAGAAGATCAAGAAGGTCTTCAAAAGTCCTGCTAAATTCTTAGTCCTCAGCAAAAGCTGTTGAAACCTTAGCTGTACGTTACACATCCACATCTTGCTGACCTTGTTTACCTGCTGACTGTTATGGGATAGCTAGTTCATCTGTATATTGAATGACTTCTGCCCTTCTGGTTGCCTTGTTTCTACGGATCTGTGCCACATAGATGTTGATCATTCTAATCAGCTGTTGTGATTTATGGCTTCCTCACTTATGGACTGTCTTTAATCCTTACTTTTTCTTGTGTGTTCTTCAGGACTTCCTTTACTGCTCTGCAACTAAGTCTTTCCTGTGTTTCCTATTACCTGTTCTTCCCTTCTTATGATAATGGTCCCAGCTTTGACTGTGTGTTTTTTCCTTCAAACTTGGCAACTACTGTATTCTTCTGTTTTGATCCCATACCCCAACCTAGCCAATTCAGTTCACACCCAGTTATCTCAAAAGGGAAATGCCTGATCGGTTTATTAAGCACTGTGGATAAGAATTTACTTTCTTTCCTTTCATCTTCCTTATACATAATGAAGCTGGTTCTGAGAGCTGTGGAAGAACATCAGATTTCTCTGAATTTCTTACCCAGCCTCCACTTTCAAGTTTACTTTGCACCTCCTACTTCGTGTGATCATCTTGGTCTCTTAAGATGAATGACAATTCCACAACTAGACCACTTCGCTTTCATTTTGTCCAATGAAGATTTTCCTGCTTTCTTGTGTTAGTCTCTCATATGTTCTTAGGGTATTTCATAGATCCTGTCAACACTTTTCCTTTCCCTTTCTGTCTTTTTGTACTGCATGTTGAGCCTTACATTCCAGAAAGATAAAAGTTGATGACTCATGGAAACTTCTAACTACTTATTCAGATCAAATCAACATAGTTCTCCAGTTCTGAGTGTTTCACCAACTTTCTTGTTGAAGTATACATTCACTGTTTCCCTCTTCTGGATAACTCTTCTTCCTGTCTTAATGCTTTCATTAGCCCAGACTTTTTGGTTCTTAAACCATTTTATCTTCAGTATATTTTGCATGGTGCGCAGGGTGGGAATGAAATAAGCTGATACTGACTTTCCGCTTCGCACTGTGGGTGTTCCCTTCGTGTTGGTGATCTCAAGTCTTCAGTTAATGCTGTGGCAGTTAAAACTGCCTACTAATTAATTAAGACTGTTGGATTCTGTCTTAACAGACATACAGTGGAAGGTCTGCTGGTTCAAACTTCAAAATAAGTTTCCTTCTCAAATATCTTGAATTCTTAATTGTTTGACTGTGCTACCAAACACTTACTGCTTGCAACTGTAACTCAAAATTGACTTTTTCCTCTGCCAGAGTGTGTACCTCTGAAGTGTCAAAATCCTACCATTTCTTTCAGAAGGGCAGAAATTGATTCTTAGTCATTGCACAGTTGGTATTCTTGTAAGACTTTCTAGGTCCTGTAAATGTTTCTTCCTTATCTTTGTTGGCAGGTGTCAGGCATTCTGTTTTTATACTTGCAGGCAGACTATAGCTTCCAGAATTATATTTGTTGCTTAAGTGCACCATCTTACAGTTTTCAGTATTTGAAAACTAAGACCAGTAGTCCGAATTTGGAGTAGTTAAAGACAACATTGTCCTTCTGCATAGTAGTAATGCCACTGCAAAGGCAACCACCCTTCTCTTGCAAACACTTCTGTGACTTGCTTTTCTGATACTTCTGCATAGAGATAGAGTTAATCTATTCATCCTCCCAGTCTTTTTGAGAGTTTGCTGCTAACAAGATATTTCCTAGAGCTTAACAGTTTCTGGTAGTAGCTGGGGGAGAATGTGATTCTGAGACTGTTGGCCATGAAATAATAGGATTATTGTCTTCCACTGTACTTAATATTGGCCACTTCCTATGTCTTTGGATTTCAATATTTTTGAGATACAGCTTTGTGATTCTATCTTGGAAATTCCTTCATAAATACTAAGTGCTTTTCAAAATAATGTGCATTTAAGAGTTTGAAACCTTTTATTGTTTTGAAACAGTCTAAACAGAGTGAGAATATATCTGACTTCCAATGAAACAAGTCCTGACATTGGTATTTGTATAAGAGGCAATGTCATATTCAACACCTAAAATTGGAAATAAGCTAACAGATACTGTGGCTAAATTTTATCATGTCTGGGATAGCATTTTTAACAAAAGAAAATTTCAGGTAACTTAGAAGTATGTTTTTGAGCAGGGCACTGTGATTAGAGTTGGTACTAAATGTAGCATGTGTTGGAAAGTCTGAACGTGTCAAGTACGTTGCAGAGATTGGTATTAATGAAAATTGCGGTAGTCTTAATGAAACAAAGCATATAATTTGAAGTTTTTATGCTTCATTTACAAAAACATCTCTACTATTTTCAGTCCTATTTCCTAGATATAACATCCAGTTCTGTAAAATTCTGTTATAGATTAGGCTTCCTCCATTGCAATATAGTGATTGTTCAGACTTATCTTTTTCAAAATTATGGAAGAAAAAGGTGTTGGAAATAACTGTAGCTATCACTAACATGTAACTTAAAGGGCCTGTGATAAGTGTATGACTAACAGAAGGCAATTTGAACCACATGTTGTCTCATAAAATTGAAGGGTATTCAATAGAAGTTTGAAACTTAAGATTTAAAATCAATAGAGGCAAGGTTTGGGTGTGGGTTTTTTTTTTTTTTTTTTTTTTTTACAAAATTTATTTTCAACCATTGACGTTGCTGGTATGCCTCTAAGTCTGTCATAGATGAAAACAAATAATTCACTGTGTGCCTGCCTGCTTCCTGGACAAAAACAACCAGTGACCAATCAAGTGTAGTTGCTCATAGGCAGGTGGTATATCATTGTTCATATGGTTTATGTATCTTGAGATGTAATGTCTAGCATAATGTAATATACTCTGAGACAGAGTATTGGAGGAAAAATAGTTTAAAAGTTTTGGTGCCTTTTTTTTACCTTGGTGTGGGAAATGTTTCACTTCCTTCAGAAAGCAATACTTTTAATGCTGTAATCCTGCCTTTTCTTCCAAAAAAAGGGCATTGTTTTGAAAGTACAAAGGTTATTCTGTGATATTAATGCTCTCTGTCTTGGCCAGTAAGCTTTCAATAATATTACTATGCTGTTTCTATTCTAGCAAGCTGTGCTGTGTACTTGTATGTAATTTTTCATGTAGAGGGACTGACAAGTGAACTACGTATTCATTTTATTAAGAAACGCTGATAAACTCATCTTCTTTTTCCTGCCCAGTATGATGAATTGGTTCCTGCATCCCTGACAACCAAATATGGAGGGTTTTATATTAACACTGGTACACTGCAGTTCCGCCAGGCATCTGACTCGGAGGATGAAGACTTTGCAGAAGACAAAAAGCATAGGCCACCTAAAGTGAGTGATCTTAATTATGCTTTTTATACAGAACTTATAGCTAGGTGGATACTAGGGAATACTTGATATACTTAATGGCTCAGATGAAGAGGCTGAAAGCAGAATGATGCACAGTATTATTTTACTGCATTATCTGTTTTGTTGTTCATGTACTGGAATTTGGAAGATAAGTCAGGATGTCTACAGGATGTCCAATCCTGTAAGACTAACCATTTGCTTAGGCGACTAACATGTTCTGTTCATCTGTCTTGAAGTGACAGATGATTCTGTGATTTTTATAATAATTTTATTATAGGAGAACTTAAATTCTCCAACACTGCTTTTATGGTTTTGCAGAAAGCTTGCATGATTTGAAATTGTTCCCAATATTCAAAATAACACTTAAAACAAAATATCTGTTAAAATAAACTCAGTGCATAAGAATAGCTATATTAACTATATTTAAAAGTATATATACAGTCTTTCCCAAGCAGTGTGCTGTTCTGTGTACTTTGACAAGTTATGATCAATGTGAAGATAATTGCTTACACATAACGTTCACAAATTCCATCCCATTCCAAGAACTTACTGCTTTCTGATGTCCTTTCCTGCTCTATAATACTTTAACATCATTTTAAGGTTCTTGTGTTGTATCTGACTGAGGTGGAGTTAACTTTATTCATAGCAGCCCTTATGGTGCTATGATTTGGATTTGTGACTGAAATAGTATTGATAACACACCAGAGCTTTGTGTATTGCTGAATAATGTTTGTACAGTGTGAAGGCTTTCTTTTTCCCCACAATGTACCAGTAGATGAGCTGGGGATCAGCATGAATGTGAGAGGGGGGAGACAGCTGATGTGAATTGGCCAAAAAGATACTCCATACTATGTAACTTCACACTCAGCAATGAAACTGTAGTAGCAGAAGAACGTGGGGAGATTCAATCTTCCAAGTTGCCCGTTGCTCATAGTGGCTGGACCTCAGTCTGCATGTGCCTTAAAGTACTTTTCTTACTGGAAACTGAATTCAGTAACTGTTTAAAAATGATTGAGACATGTCAGTAACTACAATTGCTGCTAGGAATCCAATGATGCTGTTTACCTTTATGCACATTGAGGTATTTTTCCTGGCTCTGAATTGGAAAATATAAGGAAAGCTAAATGTTGCTTCTTGTAAAATTCCCTTAGTGTGGAAGAATTATTGCCCTTTATTTGATCTATTTTCTAGATAGCAAAGCTAAAAGAAAGTGAAGATCGTGGAATGAAGAAGCGCAAGAGGAAAGATGAAGGGACAGAAAAGGAGAAGAAACCTCGGAAAATGAAAGTTCCTAAGCAGTTGGGGTATGTTTCCTTAGGTGAACCCTTCAGTTGTATGTAAGGTTTGGTTTCAAGGTTGTGGCATAGCAAGATTTATCACAGCTGTTTAGAATAGTTTATTTTTAAAGTATCATTAATAGCCAGTAGATTTGGGGTTTGGAATTTGTGTGGGGTTTTTGCATAAATAAGTCCTACAAACTAATTTCTTTGTCCCCCCCCCCAAATTTTGAATAAGGAATAATAAAGAAAAATTACAGAAAATAATTTTTGAGTCTATGAATAGCATTATCCATCACTGTTCTTCCCAAAGTCTTCCATAGCACAAAGCTTTATATCTTCTAATGAAAAATAATTTTCTTCCTAGTCCATGGTTTCTAATCTGGAAAACTTATAAACATAGCTTAATTATTCTACATGTTTCTTACTAACTTCATGTGTGTTTTCCTGAGTTCTGAGGCTAGCATAGAAGGATTAAGGTGATGGGGTTTTTATTTGGCTTCTAGAAAACTCAGAGTGAAAGTTGTCTAATTGTGAGTATTCAAGTAGGTGTTGAAAATTTATTGATAGTGTTTTTAATCAAGGTGATGAATTGGCAGAAAATGTGTTTAGATGTTGAGCCTGCATGTCACAATTCTTACCAACAAAGAACTTTTTTCATGTAGAAATTGTACCTAAACTTAAAGCAACCTGCCAACATTCAGGAGCCTGAAAGACAGGTTTTTTAGTAGCATAGATCAGCTATGAGTTTAATAACTGTGGTAACTTTTCCATAATTAAATCAAAGTAAAAAATAAATAACTTTTGCCTTAATGTGTACAAAACAATTAGCAAAACAAAATGATTGGAGAGCATGAAATCACATGACCAGCAAAGGTTTATGGTAGTTGATAGAGTAGTCTGAAGATGGAAACACAAAGTACTTGCTTTTTCTCCCTCATAATTTAATTGCACTAAACTCATAGAGTTTTGTTAGGTTACTAAGGCCTCAAAAGCCACATGCTTTCTAATGAAATATTATTTTCTCTACAGAGTAATGGCCTTAAATTCACACAAGTCTGAAAAGAAGAAAAAGAAACTGTATAAAGACTCACTCTCTCTGGCTGCCATGATCCGTAAATTTCAAAAGGAGAAGGAAGCCATGAGGAAGAAGGAATCTAGTCCAAAACCTCCAGTGACTGTTGCAACCTCTACCCCTAGTAAAATTCCTTCCTCCTCTCTCAGTGCAGGAAATGATATCTCTGACTTGAATCTTAGGATCAATGATCCTGTCCTCTCCATTTTTGGTAGCACAAATGAAGGTGAGCTCCTGCAAGAAGCTGAAAGTGCCCTGGAGATGCTGGGAGACATTGACTTTGACAAGTTGCTTGATGGCACTTCTGATGGCAGCCCGGTATCTGAACTGTCAGGAGAAAATGGCAATGTCACTCAGGCAACCTACACCTCTCAGGTCATGACACCCAAGCAGGTGCCTGCCCTCCCAGAAGGTCTGCCTGTGCTACTCGAAAAGCGCATTGGAGACCTTCGAACAGTAAGTACAAATTCACTGGTAAGGGATTGCATTCAAGAATTTGAGAGAACAAGGAAGAATAATTAGGGCCTAAGTTGTCATCCTTGAATTGAAGGCTGAAACTCTACAAAATGTAGAATTGATCTTAATGTCAGTCTTAATGGCTGTGTTAGATGAAAATGGGCACAGAGGTAATGCAGGTCACTTGTTAAAGCAGTGTTTGTTTCATGGTGGAAACAAGGTTTTCTAAATCTTCTGTGTACAGTAACTTGTAATATTTTGGGGTTTTCCATAGTGGAAATACTAGTGTTACTTTAACTTGAATTATTAATTAGTGAAATGGATGGGTGTTTTCTTACTTTGGAGGAGGAAACCTGAAAGAGGACTGTAGCTTACAAATCAGTGCCTTGAATTTTTGGCTTTGTAACATAAATGCTAACTTTCCAGTTTAAAACAACACAAACAGTAAAAAAACATAACCAGAAACCAACACCCAACTACAAAAAAAAAAAAAAAAAAAAAAAAAAAAACCAAAACCCATAAAACTGAATATTATCTTTTGGAAGGTTAGTATGGAGTCCAAACTCATAAAAAATATTAATGAAAAGTATTAAATCCACAGGTTACAAACATCTCAATAGCTTACTGAAAGGGATCAGAGCTACTAAGGCATTATATGCTTGTTTCAGTTGTGGATATTAGCTCAAATTGAGAATAAATTTCTTGTTTGATTGTCCAGATTCTGCTACTAAGCCTTTTCCTTACTCAGGGTAAGTTTCAAAAAAGCAGTTCAAGTTACTACCTTTTTGGAAAAAAACTAAAGAGTAGCAGAGCTTGCTTTGCTACAGGTTAGGGTAATGATAAAACATCTTACCTGTATGTAAATGTCTTACAGTGTTCTCTAGTTATTTTTAAATGTACTAATCTAAATACAGCCAAGGGGTTAATATTCCCTAAAGTGAAAGAGATTATTTTGTTTACCTTTGAATATTCAGGTTAATTTTGCTATGAATCTACAATAAGCTTCTAGCAAAACTGCAGAACTGCATTAGGCCAAAAGTCAGGAAGTGGTGGTGGCCTGCCCCAAGTTCATCTTGCCTCACTGTGTAACAGGCCCCACTCAGTTGGAAAAAAGTTTAAATTCAGTGGCTCTTGAAAAACCTAACTCTGTCTTCTGCCTCTGATGTCTTCTGGTTTGGTACTGGCTGAGCAGAGCAAGTCTAACCATACACTTAGGGAAAGACTAGATTGTGTGTTGACTTCAAAGACTGCAACTTCCTTACCTTCTGCAAATTGCAGTCAACTGGCACATTATCAGAGAGGGAGAACATCATCTAAAAAGCAGGAAAAAGGAAATGGGTCTTGTCAGATGCTTGCCAGGCTCACAGTTTTAGTGCTCTTTAGTTTAAAGAATGCTAAGAAGTTTATAAAGCTGTAGGAAGAAGCCTATGTTGCATGAATGGTGTATGATATATCTAGCTTTAAGAAGTAGATCTATTTAGAAAGCAAATGACTAAATGCAATAAAAACTTTCTGACTTCCTTTTGTGGATTAATGTCTTCTAGTTCCCTAAGTGGGCAATTCTGAACTACCATGACAGAGGACAGTATTGTACACAAGCAGGAAAGTAATAAAATGGCTTTTTTCTGTTGTGGTGGTAACTGTCAAGATAATCTGTCTGTAGGGGGAAAAAAAAAAAACAACTGCACAGGTCAGTGATAGTGATACAGTTTTTGAATCTGACAATGTTTCTATCTTCAAAAGCCAGCAACACTATCCAGTATGATAGTATAATGCTGAAATTGCCTTTTAAGGTCTACCAGGAACCTCAATGTCAAAGCTTATCTTTCCTTCCACTTTATATAAACCAGAAGATGATAATAATCCTTGTATTAATTATGCTTGAAGATACTAGATTTAAGATTTTCAAAGTTGTATTTTTGGTATCATATTACTTGTAAACTTCTATAACATATCTATTTTTTTTTTAGCAGGACAAATGCTTTAGTATTCTTAAACAGATAATAGCATCCCCTCAACAGCTGAATTTATGATAGAAAGTAGTGAGCAGAATGCAGTCCTTACAGGAACTTAAACTCTGGTATCAATGTTCATGACTGAAGTGTTAAAGCATTCAGATAATGGGCTACCTTATAGTTTCTGATAGAGTATCAGACTCCTGTTTTCCTGTGCAGTGTAGGGTTCACAATTCCAGAAAATACTTTTTTCAAACTTAAATGGGTCGGTTACAAAAAGCAAGAACAGTAAGTAATTCATAGTAATACAGGAATTTTGTCAAGCTAACACTTGCATTTGAGCAACCTGGTCTTGTGGAAGGTGTTGCTGCCCATGGCAGAGGGGTTGGAACTAGATGATCTTTAACCTTCCAACCCAGACCATTCTGTGATTCTATGTTATTACAAGTCATACTTCTTTTTTTTGAAGGCAGAATTAGATAATTTTAGTTTATTTCGGTATTCAACCCCATAACATGCTGGCTGCCTCTAATGTTTGTCAGTCACTATAATGATACCACACTTGCTTGCTTTTCTGCATGCATATCCTTTTCCAGCTCCTTTAGATGTTTGCTGTCTGGTCCCAGTGACAGAATGTAAGATGACAGTAAGCCTCTAAAAGTGTTTTGTTTTGGTTTTTTATGAATGCTAGAGAGATCATCCTGATTGTTTTAGAAGGGTGCAAGGAATTATCTTTCTCCTACAAGTTGTCATTGTTTGTCAAAACAAGAATCTAGGTGGTAAGAAGAAAGATAAGAGGTACAAAGATAAAGTAAAAACTTCTAATAAGAGAAAGTATGTATGAGAACAAGACTGTCTTTTTCCTGACCCCAAACACACTCAGGAAGAGACCAGACAAAAATACTAGAGATAAAGTCTAAAGATGGTGAGAATGCTGGATGCCACGAGAAAGAGGGCTAAAGTATTCCTCTAGCATACATAATCCCTTAGTATAAATTGCACTGAAAGATTGAGGTGGAAGGCTGGGAAGTTGTAACTAGGTGAGGCATGTAAGAGGTAGAAAAGAAGCCTTTCATAGATGGAGATGAGAAATGTGGTGATGCTCTTGCCTCTGCTTGACTTGTCAAGCAATTCTCCTCTTTTGAAACCAAACAGTTGCAGTAGAATGTTGCTGGTGGTGAGGTAATAAAACATCTCTACCACTTTCTTCAGGATTATTGAAAAGATTAATGTGATAAAATCAGTGATACAAGGAGATTTTAAATAGAATGATTGTTTGCCCTAGATCAAGGCGTTCTTATTTGTGCTAAGGGAGAAGCCACTGCCTGAGTATTCACACACCAGTCAGGGAGTCACAAGCACACCACCTGAGACATGAACTGTAGGATCAGAGTCCCTTTGCAGTGGGTGACTCCAGGGACCTGATGGGTGCCCCTTTCAATCCCTCATACACACACACACTTGGGCACTTCTTCCACCAGGTTCGACCGTTGGTTCCCCAAAAATAATCTATAATCAAAGCCTTCAAAATAAAAAACATAATTTATTTTCTATAGTGTACTAATGTAGACATCTTGAGCTGGGTGCCTTGGAGAGGGACCCCGAACACTAAAGCTCCTGGGCAGTTATACCCTTAGAACCAAGGTTCCCACCCCTCACATGATAGTCTGGTCCAATAGTAATATTTAGGTGTGGGGTCATCTTCTCTCATATTGGGTCCTTTTTCTTATCTCTAGGTGGGTTCTTTCACTTTCCTGTTTTTTAGGCTAGTGGTTACTGTGCCTTCTTTTCTTGGCTCAAACAAGTTCTGGGCTTTCTTAATCATCTTCCAATCAGAGAATAGGTCAACATCAAGCAAAAGCATTAAGCGAGCTATGAGTTCTGCTGTATCTTGAATGTACTACTTTTAAGCAGCTAAACAAAGTTCTTAAAGCCCTCCAAAACGTATTAACAGTCTCTATAGTTTATATACATTCCTGTGCTATTGTAGCCATGCAATCTTACCCATTATTACCATGCATTGTTTATGTCTTGTTCAGGTGTGGTCCACATGCTCATATAGCTCAGATTTGCCCCTTTCCATAGCAGAGTATAATAACAACAGTCCTCACCTTTTTTCTGAACAGCTGAGTATAGTTTTTTGGTTTTTGCCTTTTTTTTTTTTTTTTAAGTATTGCTGTTCTCTGGAAAATAAGAATGTGACATAGCTATAAAAGTAAAGATACAAGGGTGGTTGGGATAAAATGCTTTATGATGTTTTGGATGCTCTTTATTGCTGTATTTTCAGGCCGCCAAGATGTTTGATGAAGAAGGCAGGAAGAAGTTTTTCACGCAAGACATGAATAATATTCTGCTGGAGTAAGTGCTTATCTGTACAACCTTCCCTTTTTGGAAAGGGGTGAAAGGAAAAGTACAGAAGAGGAAATATTATTGAGGTTGTTCCAACAAAGCCCTTAAAAGTCAATGAAGGTAGATCAGTCTAAGCTAGTTATTAGCTAAAGAGATTTATATATGAATACAATTACTGTCATGATTATCTGTGTGTCTTTATTCAGTGTAAAGTGTTTTGCAGTGCCCTGTGTCCTTGACTTCATGTGTAAAATTCAACAAACTGCCATTATTTCTTCCTGTTTCCCACTTTCATAACTCAAAACACCTTCAGCTTTCATGAAGGAAAATGCCGGCTCTTTTTACTTTGTAATCCCTCAACTAAGGGTTTAATATAGAAGGTTCTGCGTTTTTATTCTAAGAAATAAAAAGTAGTATCTGGAAGACTGTGGCAATCAAAATTGTATCAAGATTGATGTGAAATGATGGGAGTAAATGAAATTTGAATGACAGTGTTCAGTGTTGCTGGAGAAGTATGTATATGAATGGCTTCTTGCCATTGATTAAGACTTCCTCCTTTTGTAAAAAAGTTTCTCTGAAAATGTCCCAAGCTGCTATTTTTAGTATCTTATTTTCTAGATTATTTTAGCTACTATTTTTCTAGAATGTGTTATGCATACAAAGCTTCCTTAGGTTTTTTTGTTCAGGTGTCATCTTCGTTTTGGAGTGCCTCACTGGTTGACTCTCTTGTTTATTTGTCAGTATTGAGCTACAGTTACAGGAGATAAATCCTGCCATCCGCAATGGAGTGTACTCTCACCTTGAGGCTTTTGTGCCGTGCAATAAGGACACACTGATAAAGCGTCTGAAGAAGTTACACCTCAATGTCCAGGTAATGACAGGGAGATGAGCTCCTGCATGTGTCAATTATGTAATAGCGATGAAGACAGAATGCAAGAGAGTAGAGCAACAGCCACACAGTCTCCAATAAAGCAAAATATTCTGGATCAGTTGCTAAATCAGCTTAAAAGCTTTTTTTTCCTGTACACCTGCTATTGTCACTACCTCAGGAAAAAATTTAAGTATTTGAGAGTTAAGTGCTTTCATCTTGAAAGCTGGTTACAGGGTACTATCAAACTAGCAGAACTAGAGAGCCACAGTAATCATGGTCATGACAGGCTAAAATGAAATCACTATTGCATTCACTTTTTTTGTCAAGAAAAATGAAAGCATAATAGATGACCCAGCCTGGACTGTTTGTGCAAATTTGCCTTTGGCTAGGTCTTATAAATACTTTGTCATTTGCAGTTGCTTTTTTTTTTCTTAAAGAATATGTTTTCCTGTTGAATAAAAGTCATCTGTGATCTGAGGTATCCTGACCTGCTTCTTTAGATGAAATCCAAGATTAAATCTTTCAGAAGATCTGAAGATCATGGATGCAGAAATCTTGGAACTTGCTAAGAAGGCAAACAGATTCATATGCTATTTCTAAGTAGTGAGATGTAGTAGCACATAGTATTCTAGTTCTTCTCAATAAACAGTTATGATGAAGAATATAAAGTCAGAAGATATAGGAAGAAAATGTCAAACGTGTAGGGAAGTGTATAGTATATTACTTTAACATTTGAATGTGGTAATATTTGGTAATATTTGGAGACAATTCTGAATACATAGCCCTTGCATTTGAGGTACATAAATTACATATAGTAATAATCTAATACTCAGATAATCTAACACATATTTTGTTTATTACCTAGGATGTTTTTATACCACAGAGTGTTTGGAGGCTCAATTAATTGGATACTTATTTGCAAGTGTTGAGATACTGACCTGTCAAGTCATCTTGCTTTTTCTCTTAAGCTTTCCTTCCTTTCCCTATTTTGATTAAAAAGCATTATTTAATGAGATCATGCCATAACGCTTTGGGCTGTTCATGATATGTTTCCTTGTGACTATCTTTCATTGTTTCTGGTCTCAACAATTATGAGTTGTATGAGAAATTTCAATTTTGTGCGTTTCTATAATGCTGTTGCACCTAACATGCCACATAGGAAATTGCTGTTGCGGTCAATAATTAGTATTGGGAATACTGCCTCAGGAGGGAGCAGGAAATAATTTTTGTGAAACCATCTGAAACATTCTTTACATTGCATCTAATAGGACTGCTTCGGTGTTTCTCTCTTCGCAGGATGACCGCTTGAGAGAACCACTTCAAAAGCTGAAACTGGCTGTCAGTAATGTCATGCCTGAACAGTTATGCAAGTATCAAGAGGACTGTCAGGCTCGCAATCAAGCCAAGAATGCCAAGTAGGTATTTCTGGAGTCTGTGCATGCCCATTCTAGAGTCCAGCTGGAAGTCTGTCTCCATGTTGTTCCTTCCCTGAGCTCAGCAAAGTACTCGGCTTCAGTTTACAGGTGTCTAAGATTTGAATTGTACCAAATACTTAGTTCTGTGTAAGTGATGTTATCATCTGACTCTAGAAAGAAATTCCATTTACTGAATGAAACCGGTCTTGAGAGAAAGAAATTCTAAACTGAGAAGGATACTGGAGATTCTCAAAATGCTAGATCAATGGAAGAGGATGGTGTGTTCAGGTTATCAGGTTGATATATTTTTGTCCTTGTTCATTGTAATTCTTTCCCTCCTAGTTAACTAATTTTAGACTTGGAGAAGCATTAATAGATTGATAAGCATCCTGCCATTTCCCAGTAGGTGTGCTACATGAAACTTACAGCCAGCATCCTTGATAGCATCCATACAGTGTGTCCTCTTCACTCCTTTCTGAGGACCATGAAGTGGCGGGGGGAGGAAGATGAATTATTTACCCTTTCAGGAAGGATATAATGAGAATCTGAAGATAGGTCCTTTTTTTTCCTAACACGTAAAATGACACTTGTTTCTCTAAGAAACATTTTTTTCTGTGTATACCTATAAACAAACCAGTTGTTCTAACCATAGGTTGCAAGCAGAAGATGAAAGAGAGAAAAATGGATCGGAGGAAGATGATGATGAGAAACCTGGAAAGAGGGTTGTGGGACCCAGAAAGAAGTTTCACTGGGATGACACAGTGAGGTGAGACAAAACTACCTGTTTCACCAAGAATTTCCTCTGACTTCATAAAGGGATCATCAAGGGGATGTTATTACTTGGTACTGTTCAATAAATAATTGTTCTCAGAAGTTTTACAGAGTGGGGCTAAACAGGCAAGCTAGACCGCTGTAGTGGAAAAACACCTTTTTCTTTTACTTGAAAGGCAAGATCATCCTATGTCCAACCCTTTTTTCACTGCTTGCTTATCTGCTTTACCCAAATACATGAGAACTTTCCTGATCCTAGGACTCGGAGCCTGTTTAAGTGAAGAACAGCAGTGGAAGCAGAGTTATACCTGCTTCCCACCATTCTAAGAATAGATCACAAAACACTGTCAGTGGTAGAGATTTCTGCCACAGTAGGGCAGACCACCAAAATTGCTGAAGCTGGTTTGGCAAGCCTTCCAGTCCTTGGGCAAGCCAGCATCCAGAATGCCTGAATCTTAACCTCTCCCGTCCCCTCTGAATGCAAATTCTATGTTATCCCTCAAAACCAACGAATATTCTTATCTGAAATAATGAATTCTCACTTCTCTCTTTCCTAGAATACAGTTTACTGAAAGCTGAGTTTACTATTATTCAAATAATCTAGATTGGATTTTAAGCAAGCAGATCCTTCTAAACTAGTAATTTCCCATGCAACACAAGCTAATTTTAGTACAAGTATACATATTATTAATAAGGCCTGGTGGACTTCTCGTGTTGAGTCTTTTTAGTATGTTAAGACAGCAGGAAAGCAAGTGTCATGGAATATATACAACCAGTATAGCTTGGACTGACCTGGAGGGAGCCATACTTAAAGGAGAGATATTTAAATCTCTAGCTTTTTTTCATTCAGGAGTCTCTGAAAGGCCAATGTTACTTAACTGCGTGCACTTCATGTTTTTACAGACCCTAAAAGACAGGATCCCTATCAGAAAGAATCTTCTGTTGAAATATTCAGTGAAGAATGCATTTCACTTGCTTTCAGACATTCTTCATCTTAAATGAGAAAGAGGTCACTGTGAGCAGTTAGAGGAGATGTTTCAGCTGTGAGGAAACCACAAAGAAAATGTAAAACCCAATTACAAAATTATAGTAAAGACTAAAAAAAAGACCCATACGGTCCATTGGAAATGGAGAAGTAACAGTATCAGAATATATCAGTTGTAGTGGCAAACTTCCAAAAAAATGCAGTTGGAACTGAGCTGTTCCTGCAACTGGGAATGGGCAGCAGCTGTACAGCATCAGTGCTTCCATATATCAGCCTTTTTCTGCAGAGCTTTTGAAAGGATTGTTTCTTTCAATATATTATGTTTATGCAGGTCTCTGTTGTGTAATCTTGTCAAGATCAAGCTGGGATGCTATGAGCTAGAGCCAAATAGAAGTCAGTCTGCTGAAGATTACCTCAAAACCTTTATGGAAACAGAAGTGAAACCACTTTGGCCTAAAGGCTGGATGCAGGCAAGGTAAGACACCTGCTTTATATATCTTTTCATTTTGCTGTTAACTACTCACTGGATCTTACTTATTGTCATACATTTGACTCAACCATGTACTATTAATATTGGTTAAAACTTCAAAATATGTCAGTGGAACTGAGATATTCTAGAATAGTGAGTATTTTTCAGAAATTAATTTTTTATCTTGTTTGCAAGCCTGAGAGCTAAAACCCCACTGTTTTCCTTGGAGAACTATTTGCTTTTGTCGTGTGCTGGGGAGGGAATTTATTAAAGTTCATAACACAGTGCATGATACTTCATTTGAGCAGAGGTATGAGGCAGAGGTAACTGCTTGGGAAGTTTTTTGTAGTATAGAAAGTGGTAGTGATATAGAAAGGAGTTTTGCCTGTGTTGTAAGCAGTCTGATAATGCAGTGTGACATAAACTTCAAAGTTACAAGCTGGAATTTCAAACCAGAGTTCACAAGACATTAAGGTTTGTGCTATTTATTTCTTGTATGCAGTTGGGATGCTCTGCTGCAGTTAAAAATACACCAGTTTCTTAATGGAAACTTACAATTGCTTCTTCCTGACTGAAGAGAAGCAGCCACACAAAGGGAAAAAAAATGAGAGCACTAGTAATCATTGTGAAATGCAAATTTGACAAAGTTTTTAAACACTTTGAAGTGGGAGAAGCAAATGTAGATGACCTGAGCTCTTTCCCTCTGTAGCACCCATTGCAAAAGACTATTTCCCATCAAATCTTGACCAAACTGTAAAAACTAAATGATACAACAATACTAGTCAGCTTGATGAAGAATACCTTGATTGTGTAGATTAGTCAAATCTGTATCAAGCTGTAAAAATAACTGTACTGAAGTATTTCCATAGTCAGTGTAGAAAATAAGAGTGTAATAAGCTGCTTGTGAAGTAATAATGAAAGGAACAAATAGTTTTACACTTCTTGGCACACAGCTGACTTCTTACTGTATAGACCCTTGAACAGAAATTACACTGATGAGTGAGATGTTACCTCTTAAAAGATTTAATTGAAGTAAACAAGACAAGGAATCCCAGTTTAGTTTAAGAACAGATATGGGAGATCACTGATAGCAGTGAAATAGTCAAGTGATAGTGTGAGGTCATCCAAAGTGAAGCATGTTAAAACTTTGTATTTGAAAGCCATATAACATTTATGGTTCTCTCCTTCCATGTAAGTGTGCTGAAAATTTCCAGAACCTTTAAGCTGTCCATAAAAGTGGTTTCAACAAAAAAAAGACCAAAAAACAAAAACCACCAAACAATCTCAAAAGAAACAAAACCCCCCCAAAAAGTGTTTTTCAAGTGAGGAGTTACATAAATTGGAAAAAAAAATTAGGCATTTATTGTTAAAAATGGCCTACTGGCTATGTACATCACAAGGAATTCTTACTAATCAGAGTAGGTCTGTAGTACCACAACTTTGTGCGTTTAGCCCAGAGGAAAAATTTCTTACTCTTTCAAAGTTAACTCTACTTAATATTCCTCATAGCTTAGTATGGAAGCATGAGATGGGGTATTGATCATAACTTTAAATTGCACCTCATTCATTTGTCCATGTGTATCACAGCTACCTTTGTCATATTAATTTTCTGTGTGCATAAACTTCCATGTTCTGCCTCAGGAGATTGCTTTATTAATATTCATGGATTTAAAGAAATAACTTTTTGTCCTGAAGAATCCCAAAGCCTTTTCAAATAATGTAATGTATTTTTTGCAACTGGGTTGCATGTTAATTCCATGTGTGTCTGAAAAAAGCCTGCAACCTAATATGTGTATGTCAAAAAAGAAATGTAAGGATCAAGAAGTGGTTTCCTTTAATTCCAGGAGTTTCATCATCTTAGGAGGTGCAAAGTAGGCTTGTGGTGCATTTATTTTCCACAGGTCAAACAACATGCTTGACTTGAAGTCATGATCAGAGAGAAACAATCTCATACTGATCTCTGTCATCAATTTTTCCATCTAAATATATATATGCAATGGAGGGATTATTTTCAAGCATGTTCTTGCTTTGGAACATACACTGCACTTTGCTTTCTTTGTACTATATCTTTGACTTTTGTTCCTGTAGTAGTTACACTTTGGTGTTCAACCTTTTAAGGGTGATACTAAAAATTGCAGGGTCCTGGGATTAATTTTGAATTTTCATTTCCAAATGAAAAAGATTAAGGAATAGACAAGGCACCAGGAAGGGGGTGAAGAGGGAAATATTCTGGAGAAGCTGGGTAGGTCAGAAAGTGACACACTGAACCTCTAATGAGGAATGTTCCTTTTGCTCCATGATGTTCTTAATAGGCATTCAGTAGCCTCTGATGGGGAGAAATGTAATACAGATTTGGGGGTTAGTATGGTAAAGAAAACATGGAAATGAAGCTGAAAGTGGAATCTGAGACATAAGGTATTAGAACTGTAGCGAGAGGATGTCAATGTTTTCTTAGCAGATTACATGAGATTTGTGGATACTTGGATTTTTCATAACTATTTCAGCTCTACAGAATGCGTTATCAGTGGTGAAGAGCTCTAGTTTAGACAGCTGTTCATGTTGTGGTCAGTGTTAGTGTGATGGCAGTGGTGTAGGAAAATCCCATCTCTTCTAGTTTGCCTACCTGGAAACAGGGAAGAGGAACTGCATTTGGGTAGCAAGCTGTAGGATAGGTACAGGTCAAGAATAATTTTCATTTCCCGCTTGTCAGCCCAGGAGTTGATAGCATGGAAATAAAAGCATGTGAAGTGTTGAGATTTGTCATACAAACTCTTTCCACTCATTGGCTGTCTAGTAAAGTGTATGTGTAAGTCTGTTGTAGTTGAAGTCACAGAAATGGTACACAGCAGCCTGTACAAAATACTGAAGAAAATTAGAAACCAGCTTGACTACTGTATTCTGACTTTCTTTGTTTCAAAAACCCAAACCAAACCAACCACAACAGACTAACCACAAAACCCAAACCTGTGATCATTGTGTGGACTCACAGTGTGAAGAGTTTACAATAATCCTTAATAATCCTTAATCTGTTATTTAAAGTATTTTGTTAGCCTTTGAGGAGAGAGAATTCTAAAGATATATCTTCTGACCAGCTGAAAGAGGTAATAAGCCGTTAAATTGACTTCTGTTTGGCCATTGACTGAGATATTTTAAGTGTAAAATTTAAATATAGTATTTTTATCATTCTTCTGTTGATTCTGCTGTCTGAAATGACATCATGATAGTTATACAGACAGACTACCTACTAGCTGCTTTGGGGACAGATAATCAAAGGGTTCTTCTGAAAATTCAAGGATATTTGTGTATTTGGTGGTCAAATACTGATTGTCCTTGTAGAATCACCTTATTTCTTTTCTTGTCACTCTTTTAGGATGCTTTTTAAAGAAAGCCGAAGTGTTCACAATCACCTCACTTCTGCTCCGTGAGTATAATATTGACAACTTTAAATTGTTCAAGAATTATTTTTTCCCATCTTCATGCTACCTTTTTTGGATGGAGGGGAGGACAGGGAGATATTTTGGGATTTATTTGAAGAGACTTACAGTGGTTTTGGTTTTGTTTTTTAATGCTTTAATTTATACATATAATTGTAATGTTCTTGTGGCATTATATTTTAACTCAGTTATGAAGTGGCTAGGTAACTCAAATGGATATTCATTCTTGGATTAATGCCTTTTACTCAGAGTATTTCAAAGCACTATACACTGCCTAAATTTTGCTATGCAGCATATTAAATTGAACTCGGACTGCAGTACTTATTGCTCTTTTCTTTTCCTCATAAATATCACTAACCACAGAGGGCTTAGCAGAATTTTCTCTTCTTGATTTTCAGACAATGCTATGTCCCTCTTGGGAGCTGCTTGCATTCAGCCAGAATTCAAATAAAACAATTATGATTTTGAATAACACCCAAATCACGATGTTTATGATAAATATGATAAACATATATTTTACTATATAATAGCAAAACTGAGTCATGGTCTACCTACAGTAAGATCTTTTTTTAACCAGGCGTATTCCGAGTTTCTTAGGAAAGGAGTATAAATGACTTATAAGATGTATATCTGTTGAATGTCTTGAAGAAATACAAATGAGAAAAGGTGTGACATGCTTAACTTCCAAGGTAAAGGTGATGACTACTAATCCTTAATGCTGCCCTTGCTCACATAACTGCAGTTGGAGCTATGGTGTTCAATTACACTGCAAAAGAACCTGGAAGCTTGCTAAGTAGCTTCTTAACAGAAGTTAACTTTCACAGCTGATATCAAAACACTTTTGGAGGAAAAAAAAAAAAGGCAACAGTTCATGTGGTTTGAAACATAAATGAGAATATGAACTATATTCCTCAGTGACAAAGACATCGCTGTGAAGTGAAATTATGTAACTATTACAGGTGGTCAGTTTAGACAAGAACTCTGCTAAGTAGACAAACTCTTAAGATTGTCAGAGGCTGAAATGACATGATGTTTTACAGTTTCTCTAAATTGGAAAAGTAAAAAAAAGCTCTCCGATCTATATTGGGTTATATCAGCAATTAGTGAAGTTTGCATCTAATTTATGTAGACATACATTGACAAGAAAATGAGTGAAAATTGTGCTTGTTTCCACACCGCTTCCCCCCATTTTAACCTGTTTTGTATTTGAAAGATGTTTTATTATTAAACCTGGACTCCAATAGTCATCCTCCTAGTTTATTGGGATATAATCAAGGTAACTTAAAACAAAAATTATTTGCCTTTCTTTGTCTTCTGATATGTGTGTATCCTCTGTTTTAGGGCAAAGAAGAAGGTGATTCTGGCCCCTAAACCCAAAGTGAAGGTAAATGCCTATTTAGATATCTGAATTTTATATGACCATTTGATACAACCTGTTTCTTGCCTCTGATCCAGAAAAATTCTGGTAGAACAGTTCCATCAGGAAATGCTGTATTGACTTGGTGGTGTATTATTTTAAATAGTACAAAAGACTTCTGTATAGCTTCATAACTTTAAGCTATATTCTTTTTTTGAAAATTGAGTACAAAGAGGTACTAGTTCCAGTAAATTTCACTTTTTTTTAATGTGTGCTTTGTGTTCAGCTTGTATTAAATTTGGCAACACTGGGAAAAAATGTGTGGTTGGGAGTAGGTTAATAGAGGTTCTAGTTAAACACGACTAGGTGTTGTCTTAGTTCAGTAGCAATATTACCTAGCAATCAGATTAGCTACCCTGTTCTTAACAGCATTGATTATTCTTAACCGGGGCACGTTTAGTTATGTGGAGCAACAGCACTAGGTTTTTAAATACTGAATGCAAATACTGAATTAGCACACAGGATTCCCAACACCTAGACACCATGGGTATCTCAGCATGAAAACTTCAATAGTAGATGTTAAGTTCATCTGAATTTACAGAATAATAGTATTACTCTAAAGAAGGCTTTAGATCTACTCCAGAAGGGCTACTAAACCTGTCTTTTCTTACCTCTTCATTCTCAGGACTCCAGTCCAAAGAAAGAACAGAAAACCTGTATGTCTTCAGTCAATTCCAGTTGTGCTACTGTACTGAGTTCCAGCACACCTGTCTGCACCCCAGCCAGCTCTAGCTGCACACCAGCTCCAGAGACGATCTGCTTGGATGATTCACTGGATGAAGATCTCTCTTTCCACCCACCCTCACTGGACTCTATTTCTGATGCTCTGGCAGTTATCAATAATGGTGCCAAGGGATCACCTCTTGGGTCCACCATAGACACACCAACACCCAGACCTCGCCCCGGGCTGAGGGAAGAGAAACTAGCAAGCATTATGAGTAAGTTGCCCCTGGCAACTTCAAAGAAAGTAGAGCCCACTCAAACACCCCATTCATCAAGTCTTATTGCTGGTCACACAGGGCCAGTACCAAAGAAACCCCAGGACCTAGTTCACACTGGTATCTCTTCAGGCCTTATTGCTGGATCTTCAATTCAAAATCCTAAGGTTTCCTTAGAGCCTTTGCCAGCCAAACTACTTCAGCAAGGACTACAGAGGTCAAGCCAGATCCAAGCTGCTTCCTCCTCTTCACAGACTCATGTTTCTTCCTCTAAGACCCAAGCAGCTATTTCCACCTCCTCTCAAAGAACCAAGGATGCTAATATCTTGGTATCATCTTCTGAGGCTCAAGGTGGTTCTTCCTCAACATCACAAGTGACAAAGGTGCACCAGCATTCAGCTGTACAGCAGAAATACGTATCTCCTTTACAAGCAACTATTAGTAAATCACAGACCAATCCAGTGGTGAAATTGAGTAGTAATCCCAAACTGTCTTGCTCATCACCAGTCATCAAGGCTCAAGATAAGTCTGTAGTATATCGCCTGCCTTTGTCTAATCCCTCATCTGGAAGTGGCTCTCAAGTGTCTCACCCACTGGTTTCTCGGACAACATCCAGCACCTCTACCTCTAGTAACTATTTAGCCAAGGCTATGGTGTCACAAGTTTCTTCCCAGGGTTTCAAGCCTCCCTTCTCCATGGCTGCCTCTCCCAAACCTGCTGCCTCTCCTAAGCCCACTGCATCTAAGCCCTCTGTGACACCCAAGCCCAATGCATCACCTAAATTTTCATCCAAGTCCACCTCATCCCCCAGGCCTGCAACAACACCCAGTTCTTCCAGTTCAAGTGCACTAGTTTCCCAGAGTAGTCACTCCAGCAACAACCCCCATCATAAACAGACCAGTGGTGTAAATATCAGCAGGCAGTCTCCCACAATGAATTTGCTGCCCTCTAATCGCACCTCAGGCCTTCAGCCTGCAAAGAACCCTCAGGCTTCTTCAAAATTGCCCAACTCTTCTCCTTCTGGAACTGTTGGTAAAAATAATTTGGGTGGAGTTGGAATGAATGTACCTGCCAGCAGAGGCAGTAACCTTAACTCAAGTGGAGCTAGTAGGACTAGTCTGTCTGGGGGAGCAGGAAGTGGAACACAGGGTGCTACTAAACAATTGTCAACTCCACACAGACCATCTTCTGCCTCAGGGTCTCCAGTTGTAGCAGCCAGTGTGCAGGTACGCATCTCATGAGTTTACGTTGCAACCATACCTTAATATTTATCACATTATTTTGTAAACATTCTTTCTTTGCAATATCTTGATTTGAAAATATGTTATAAATGTAACGTTCATACTAAGCATATATGCTAATACTAATCAAGATTTCTCACTAGTGAATAGGTATTTCCACCTGATGTAAAATGCAAGGATCAGTGTGGAACGAATCCTCACTGTAAAATGTTGGTTGGTCTATACTGTGGGACAGAATTCACTTTTATTTCCTATTTTTTTAACAGCATTAGAAAAGGTAAGCTCTTTGTGGCCATATTTCAGGGGATGTGGTATTTTCTTGCATTATTGGATTTGTGTGTTCTTGCATATTTACTTGTAATGATGCTAGTAATATGAAAAGGTGTCTTGTTACATCTGTTGCCAAGCTTCATGAACTTGCAAAACTACAGTTCAGCTGCTTGTGGTTTGAGTATAATGCAAGACTTGTATTTAAAATTAGCACTTGAAAATGCTTTTCTTTAGTATTTGTGATTAGATATGTATTTTATTCTGTAGGATCTAGTCAAACTGAATGAGATACCTCATTAATATAGAAATATCCTAGAAATTGTTGAGCTTATGCAGAACTTGATGAAACAAGTCATACAAAGCAAATATTTTGAAAATACTGTTGTTCTAAAACCCATGCAAACCTATTATCTATCCAGAAGACAACCTGCTTTCCCAAGTTGTGTGTTCTTACTGGGAATGATTTAATTACTGAGATGATTTGAGGTTTTCTTCTCTTTACTGCTCTCTATATCCTGAAGTCTTCAATACTTAACGAAAAGCAAAATCAGAGTCTTGGTGTACAGCAAAAGGAAAAGCTTTGTGTTTTTTTGAACAATGTACATAGCTATTTCATGACAGTGATGTACACTCAGCTTTTAGCAATGGCTTATCTTTTAGCTTGCTATCAAATTGTTCTTAATGCAGCCAAATAACAGGAGGAAGATGATTTTTACAAGACATTTCTATGCTCTTTCATCCTACTGTATCTTAAGTCTGTTACAGTAAATAAGAAATGTTTGGCAGGCTCTGACACAGCCTTCTCATTGTTTTGGGTACTTTGAAAAAAAGCCCACAACACACATGCTGTGTAAGGGCCATTGAGGTACCGCATAGGGCCTAGAGAAGAACAGAGCGAGATACAGTGCAGTTTGGATACTCTGGAAGGTGCCTGCAGGAGACAAAAAAGGCTACAGTGAATGGACTGGGAACAGAGTTGCTTCTTCCTGGTGCAATCAACAGAATCCAGTGGATACAATTTCTGCAATAGAGAAGAAAATGTGAAATGGGTGTGGTAGTGCTTAAAGATGGTGGAGGGAAGTAGTATTGTGTTGGATGATGACATGAATTCTGGCAAACCTTTCTATAGTTAAAGGCAAGTAATTTTTTTTTTTTTTAGAAACACTGATCACCTGGGGAGCAAAATAAGTTTTGGCAGTGATGTTGAAGAGGTCTGGAGGGGGTGTGGTGCATTATTGAGTAACATGAGTGCATACTGTAATACATCAAAATAATGTTGGTATATAGAGAGGGAGGAATCAGCTAGAGGTACTGAGCAGCATATGGTATCACTAAAATAATTATTGTGACTTTGCATGTGGGGTTTTTTGACACTTCAGAATTTACTTTGATAACCCAGAAGTGGTTCAGAAGAATGGTACAAGGAAGATAAACCATAGAGTAAAGCTGTTGCTACTGTGCAGACTGAAGCTTAGGCAGTGGAGTATGTTCAAGAGAAGATTAGAATCATATTACCTCCCAGCCCAAGTACTGTGAAGGGGAAAAGATTTGTGATAACAGAGCTTTATTTAGCCTTAAAGATCTAATGGCTGGCTGCTGAAGTTAATCAGTTCCAGACTAGCTGTTAGGTACAACGTACTAAGGAGTTAGTTAGCCCTCTTAAAACTTTGTATGAGACAGAAAGTGAATCTCATCTCAATTAAGGGTTTAGGGATTTAATTCCTGAGATGTTATTAAACCGTCAGAAGATGAGAATGGTACCAGAGTTGCTCATTAGAATATCCTGGTCTGCTTACATTGAAGGTCAGACTAGAGGATTTCATGGGATAATAAATGTTCCTAACCAGGAACAGTTTTTAAGAAGTGTTTCCCTCCTTTTCCCTTTTGATTGACACAGCTATTTACCAGAATATAAGTTTACATCTGTTGTAGCTTCACAGAAGTTTTACTCTGGAGTACTATTAAGTTACATCTTAAGAACACAAAGCCAAAATAACATAGAATTCTGCAATTACCATGTGTGATTTCCTTAAATAGCTCTACCTACCATTACTGCTCTTGAGCAGAATCTGGCTTAGACTTTTAAGGACAGTGGTGACTCAGATTTACATGAGCAGGATGAACCCTTTTATGAAGTGCTATCATAGGTGAGATAGATAGGAACATCTGAAATGCAACTCTTTTAGGGCCTTCTCTTTAGCTCTTTCCATCTTTGAACTCCTCTCCTTTTTGGGACAGTAAGCAAGGTCTTGGCAGAGCACATGACAAAGCTTCTTTCTGTTTTCAGGCATTTTACAAATCCACAATTGCAAGAGATTACTGTATGGCTTTTACTTTCTTGCACAGGAAAGATTACATAGACAGTGAGCAGCTGTCATTTTTTTGTACATAGGCTTATTGTGAAATCAGTACTTTTAAAGGCAGAAGAGAATAATTATGTATGTTGAAGTTTGTAATCCATTATTTTTTTCCTACTTGTCTTAAAAGCTGTCACTCCTAAAATGACCAATACAAACACATGCTTCAAACATCACATCTGTAGTTGTTTACTCTTACAGGGTTACTGTTTTAAAATAAGCGGGAACTAACTTCTCTTAAGCTGCTTTCAACTTAATACCTTAAGACCAAAACTGATAGTAGAAACTTTATTCCTGCTAGTTCTCATCACTTTGCTGTTTCTGTAAGCTGGTATGGAACTCAAGCAGATTTCATTGTCATTTAAAGTTCATATATTCATTAAGATGATTTTACATTTTGGTTTTAAGGCTTACTTGTATGAGTACACAGGTTTGAAGTCCTCTTCAGTCTGAGTCGTTTTAACTCAAATATCTAAAATATCTGAGCTTGAGTCTGATTCAAAATGCTTTCTATACTAACTGTTCTGTAATACATCATTGGGGAATTGAGCATTAGCATATAAAATTACTATGTGCATAGTGAAGGAAAGATTGTTAAACAAGGATGAGCTGTTCTAATGTTAGAGGAATTCATGCAATTTGGGAACTGTTGTAGCTAAAATGTTCTGGCTAATCTTGCATTTTTATTGTTAAAGCACAGTGAATTTAACCTCCTTGTGATTTATGCAGAGTGGAGGGATTATCCTCCTTTGGCTTTTGGTTTGACATGTGCATACACACCTATACGTACATATGCATGTCTGTATCTTGGTAACCTGACTTCTCTCAAAGTGTGGGGGTTCTTATGTATTAATGTTAATTTTCAAAAATCATTGCTTCTAAGCAGCCTCTTTAGAAACAAAGTTAGTGTTCTGTGAAGACCCAAACTTGGAGAGGGGAAAGTAACACTGTGCTTTTGAAGAACTTTAGATCTACATCTGATAATTTCATGTTATTAATCTAATAGAAGGGGTTGCATTAGATTTTGACTGTAGACCCAGTGCATAATTAGAAAGGAGAGAGAGGAAATTACCTGCAAGGCTGATGAGAAAAACGTGAGAGATGAACCATACTGTCATGTCTGAATCGGATATAGTTGTATTTGCTTAGCAGATGAACAGTGGGAAGACCTCCTAGGTGGATAAGTGAATATTTATTAGTAGTTTAATACACTATTTAATAGGGCCCCAGTTAACAGCAAATAGCCAATTCTTATCTCCTTAAAGAATACAAGTCAAAGCTTTAAAATCTTGAAGCACTTATTTTCTTTGTACAGTCAACAGCAGGAGCATCATTACTGGCTAACGCCTCACCTCTGACTCTCATGGCATCACCCCTGTCTGTAACCAGTCAGAACGTGACGTCTGCACCATTAACTCCTTTTGGGATGCTGGGTGGCCTTGTTCCTGTGACTGTGCCCTTCCAGTTTCCCTTGGAGCTGCTTGGCTTTGGGACGGACACAGCTGGAGTGACAACCACCTCGGGATCTACCTCAGCGGCTTTCCACCACAGCCTAACTCAGAGTGAGTGGTATTAGTTATCACAATGAAAATAGAAATTAAGAAGAGAAGCCATAAAGTTCTGAGATTCCAGTTTGGTTCATGAGAGTCCCTACAGGAGACTAAGTGTGATTCCTTTGCTGGTAAAACTTTGTTTATGTAATTATCCAAATGTTATCAATCACCTTTAAGCTTAACTTCATTGTTACATTCATAGTATATACTTAATTTCAAACATGCTTTTTGGGGTTGTAATGCCTTATCTTTAGAAAGGAATATAGCTTAAAAGTCTCCAAATGTCACAGGACAAATACACGACTTAATATGGTGATTCCTCAAAATATCCATAGCTCCATAATCTCAGATATCAAACAGTCCTCTTCTGAGGAAGTATCAACCAAGGTGGCATTTATTTTTTTCAGATTGCTTAAAAAGAAAATCTTCAGGTTTTTAAGCTGTGTCTGTTTTGCATCTTTCTACTGAAATAAATGATAGGGAGTTGCATCCCCTATAGTGAGGCATGGTCCTTCCCCCAGCTTTTGATAACTGTATCTGAATAGGTCTGACTTATTCCAGCCATCAGAAGGCTATCAGGCATTTATTTTTTGTTGTTGAGATGCATCTTCAGAAATCTGTGCAAATTAATATGCTACTATAGCTACACTATAAAAATTAAAAACTTCCTATTTCACAAAGGCTGCCTCTGTCCTTGAGATTTATTTTTCATTTTTGTGGCTCTCCTTTTTGTCCAGACTTACTGAAGGGTTTACAGCCAGGTGCTCAGCACGCAGCAACGCTGTCTCACTCACCTCTGCCTGCTCACTTGCAGCAAGCTTACACAGGTAAATACACATCTTTCTCATTACTTATTTTTAGCTTAAGTCAGATTTCTGCCCTAAACTGAAGTAAAACATACACCGGAACTGAAATTGGTTTAGAGAAGACACAGCACAGGGACAAGCTTTGGTAACCGCAGACAGTAGACATTCTATTGGAACAGTATTTTTGGAACCGGAACAATTTTTTTCTTACTTGTTTTCAACGTCAGGAACAAAAAAAAAGTAAAAAATTTCAGTAATACTATATTGTAGCAGTTCTAGAAGCAAAGTATACAAATTCAACTAGTGGGGGGAAAAAAACACCACCACTTACTGGATGCTAACATGATTGTTTACAGGCTTCATAAAGTCCATATTGGTGAGATTGGGTTTTTTTTCCACTCAGTTTTACTTTCTTCTTTGGAGGAGAAACTGACCTTCCAGCTAGGAGCTTCTTCATGTTTCTTGTAAGACTGTATACATGTGTGAACAGTGTGATGGCTTCCTAATGGAAGATCTGCCTTGCCTAGGAATTTTAACCTTGGTAACAGTTGCATATTTTGAGTGAGAATAGAAGCTGGAAGTAGTACATCCCCTTTTTCTGTTTGCAAGGCTTAGAGCTGAAAATCTATCACAAAGCTTTAGAAGGTGCAGTTTAGAGTGTACTCCTTTCTTTGCCACCTGTATGGGGTGGGGGTTTTTTTGCCAGAAGGAACAGGAGGGGTGGCAGTGGCTTGGTGGGGGTTTTTCATCCTGTTCTGAGAGACCTCAGCACCAAAAAACTGGACAGTGTTGCTCTAAGTGGCTGTGAAAACAAACCAATTGGCTATATTTGTTACAGCCTTCATTTTTTGTCACAGTAAGTGCCATGGGTTGAATACTAAAAATGCTTTATTAAAATGTAAAAGCTTCTAAAGAAGGGCTTGATTTTAAAATTTTTTTTTCAGTATCCCGAGCTGCAACTTAATCTTTGGAAAGATGGTATCTTTTGGTATGAAGCCTGATGCCTCAGGTTTCAACAGTGCTATTTCTAATAAACGAACTACAGAGAACATGAAAAGCCTTCTACCATATAAAGACAATGTACTTTTTGGTGACGCTAAAGCTAAAAGCACCGAATTCCTGTCTCTCTTGCTATAAGTTATAAACAAAAGTTCACTCATGCTTTTATTCTCCCCTTTCTTTTCCTGTTTCTAAACTACAGATGGAGGCCAAAGTAAAGGGGACACTAAGTTACAGCGGAAAAACCAGTGACTTCTGGACAAGCAAGGGAGCTGAAGCAGTTCTGGTTGGCTGACAGAATCTGCCCAGTTGGGAAAGTGCTTATTGTCACAGGGCTGCTGTTTCTGTCGATGTTTACATATTCTGATCCCAAGCACTGTGGTGAGAGGAAGAAGAAAAAGAAAACAATACTTGATCAAAGAGAGAAGGAAAAGGAGGACTGGTCCTCCTGGTCATGCAGACTGGTCATAGTTTGATCTTGCCTAAAGAAACAAGCTTTTTTTATCTGCTCTGATTGGCTTTTAAAAGAAATTGATCGTCAAACCCACAGCAGCACAAACATTTTTTTTCTGGGTGATGTCCAATGAAGAGTTGAAAGCATGAGAGGAGCTAGATTAGGTTTCTCCATCCATTGTGTAAGGTGGAATCATCCACTTCATTAGTGCCCAAAGTGCCCAGTATAAATTATGTGTAGGTCCTGAGTATACTATATGGTTGTGGACCAAAGGTTATGTAGAGTAGAGGTGGTGCTGGGATACTTTGTATTATAATTAAACCCTTACACAAATGCAGTTTCTGATACAGGCATTTTTCCAGCTTTACAAGGCTGTTTGGCTTTAGGGAGCCTACAGATGTATGCAGTCTCATTAGAGAGTTATCTTCAAAACAGATCTCCTGGTACATTGAGATGTGAGGCACAGACTACTGGGAAATCCCTTGCTCCTTGTTTGATGTTTTTTTGGTTTTGGGTTTTTTTTTTAATATTCTTATTTAAGGGAGGAAGGAGATGAAAAATTTTCAATTTACATGAAAAGGAAACCCACTTCTTATTGGTCAGACTAGCATTTCTTTCCCACATCTTTTTTAAAGGCACACTGATTTTTCAGTCCTTCGATTTGTTAAACTTTCTTTTCCTTTGCCTTGTGCTTATCTGTTACTGAAATTAAGTCATGTTCTATTCATGTCTTTTTTTTTTTTTTTTATAAAACACAAGCAGTTCTTTACTCATTCTAGATCTTCCTCATCTTTCATCTAACTCCTCCCAAAAGTCATGCATTCTACTGATTTGCTAGTTAAAGAAAGCTGATTGTGACCTATTCCAGAGTCAGGTTAATACTGCTTCAGGCATTAGCCAAAGAGGAGTCGTTCAAAAGCGACCAGAGGTGCCTTCTCTTCTGGGGGCTGAATGGGTTGTCTCCAGCATTTCCAGCCCCTGCTAGCCTGGGGAGTTCCAGACCTGAACTCTTCTTTACATGGGTAGCGCAAGACTGCAAAGCTGGCTTTTTTTTTTTTTTTTTTGATAGCAATACATTGACTAGCTCATTTGTAAGGTTAGGAAGTATCCAGCACATGTTGCACTTTCAACATTAGGACAGAACTTTGCTGTTGAGTCCCCTGTGCTGTCAGATAAAAGATGAGAATGGCAGAAAGTGAAATAAATCGTAGGAGAAAGGAGCAAATAAAATAGTATGATGCCCTTCTCCAGCCCCGAAACATTCCTTTGATCAGAGATGCTGAAATTCCTAGTAGCTAGTCTTTCCAGTACTTTGATTTGAGATTAAACCAGTGACTCCTGGCTATCTCACACCTTCCAGAAAGACTTTGACCCATGGATAATGAATCTTCAGTGTTTTTTGCTAGATTAACTTATAGCTTTCAGGTTTCTTTTACATGTGATTTATTTTTCTTAGACCAGACAACAATTTCTTTTCTATTTAGAGCTCATTTTAATTTTATATAAATATATATACGTGAATTTAAAATAATATATATTGTGTATTTAGTATAAAAATGTTGGGTTGAGCTCAGCAATAAATGTTTTTGCACAATACTTCTGTGAAAGACAGATTGAATTAAAATAAGATGCATTAGTTCATTAATTTCACTCCACAGCATCTGCCAAGTAAATGCTTTCTAGCTAGTGCTAATGTTTTGTATGTGGCGTGTTGATTAGATAAACTTGCATCTCCATCAGCAACGTTATTTAGGGTTGAAACATACAGCTACATAGACTCTGGCATTCCTAATACTGTGCAAATCCTGTCAAAATATGAAGCTACTTAGAATGCAAGCTTTATCTGATTTTTTTTCTCTTTTCTCCAGGAAGGGTTGAAGGAAGACAACTTTTGTTTTTTGAGGCCTAACAGTTCTGGCAGGATGCTAATTCTCTGAACTGTGTCAAAATGTATGTAGCTAAGGGAGTTGCAGCAGGCAGCAATATATTTAAAAGACCCTGTCCCAAGAGAGTTCTACCTCTTCTGTGTTTTCCTCATCAAGGCATCTCATTCAAATTGCCATCTTTTGTCTTCATACTTAATGAAATTTTTGACTGGGAGAGTTGGAGCCCTTTAACTACAGCACAAATTTCCTTTCAACATTCCTCTCTTATTGGAAATGTCCCTCACCTTCAGTTGAGGAGTATCCTCTCCAAATCGTAAGGAGGGTAAGAGTAGTCCTGTCTGTGTGGCCTATTGAGCTTCTCAGTCTTGGGAAACAACGAAATTAATACTTACTGTGGAAATAGGTAGTAGGATGAGAATAAAGATGACCATACATTATTCGTGAAGCCAGTTCAGACAGCCCCCCAGAGGGTAGATGTTTTCAGTCATTATGCTCCTGAGCTGCTTTGGAATCAGCAGCATAGCGATGAAAGGGTCTATATTCCCTGTTCCCTATTCTCTCTGGTTAAACCTAGCAAGGCCAAATCAAAGGAAATAATAGGGTGGCTCCCAGAGACCTTTGCAGGTAGGATAAACTGGATGGGGAAGTGAAAGATTTCTGCAACGTCCAAATGCAAAATTAGGTTAATGTTTTACTGTTTTCTGCACAGCAGCTCTTCTAAAGACATTTTTCCCCAAGTTTTTACTACTTTTTAACGGCCTTTGTTAATAAATAAACTGTAGTTGTACATACTAAATAACCCTCAGTATTCACAAGCAATAAGAAAGCCAAGTAGAGCTGTCTTTTCTAGGCAGCAGGGCTGAACTTGGTTTGGGGACTGTATATGAGCTAACATGTCAAGCTCACTGAAAGCCCCAAACAAATGCAAGCAATAATTTCAAACACAGGTTTTAGATGTTAAAACCGTCTGGGTAATCTTTTCTGCTACATGATCCAAAGTCCCCAAAGTCATGGTAGCTATTTTACATCCTTGTGAGACACTTGCAAAGAAAGAAGGCAGGCTAGATGAAAAACAGGCTGCAAAGTTTCTTGATAACTTGGACTATAACTGCAGTGTTCTCCCACTCCAAGATGCAAATGGCCTAAATCACTTTGTCCAGCCTTCTCTGTTGATTTGAGATACATGACTAATATCGATCAACTAAGTCACAAGTGTGGATGCTGTGGGTTTCACATCTGTTTTCTGCTAATCAGAAGTAACTTTTAATTACCTGGGTTCTGCTTCTTGTTTGAATCCGATCAAAGTTGTCTGATGCACAGATTTGGGGGTGGGACAGGTGCCGAGAGCCTTTTTTCCTTCCTGCAGTCCCATCACCTGACCCTTCCTCCACACTCCTTCTCCACTTGGTGCAAGACCCTTGAGGACATGAAAACAGAGAAATCCTGCAACTCTCCCAAGCTGCCATCAGTTGTGTGAACCATTAACCCTCTGGGAGTCATCTTGGACTCCAACTAACTTTATCACATTTGCTGCTACATTCGTAAAATGAACTTTTGGCTGTATTTATTAGCAAATTTTAATCTAGTTTACAATTTTTGGTTTTCTTTTGAGTAGCTTTTGCCCACAGATGGATTAGAAGTGTTGGGGTGTTTGGGTTGGGGTTTTTTTTGTTTGTTTGGGGTTTTTTTTTTTTTTTTTGAGTGAATTTGTGAAGAGACAGTGGTCCCTCCTCTGCTTTTGCTTTGGATTTTTTTGAACATGGCATTGCAGGGGAAACCTGCAGCCAAGCCAAGTTGTGGAAGGCTTCTTCCCACATGTAATTTTCATCTTTTGCTGAATTGGGGGGAAATCATTAAAGGGACACTTGCTTTTTGTTTGGGTGTTTTTTTGTTTTGTTTTGGTTTTTTTTTATAAAACGAACCAGAAGGTGAAAGCAGTAGGTAAATGACTGATTTAATTAACACTTTATGCAATTTTAATTTTATAGAAATTAAAAAAAGTTTGGTAGGTTTTGATTGGTCCTAGCTCTGGTGAAATGGCTGTTACCCTCCATGACTTACTTGATTCAGGCCTTTGTCCTTTGTTTAAGTGCCTTTTTTTTTTTTATTTTATTTCCCTACCCTCTTTAAACTGTTCTCAGAGATCCTGAAGTGCTGGAAGGCATTTTGGAGGAAAATCTTTAGCTTGCCAAGATGGCTTTATGCTGTTATACTATTTTTTTTCCCTTTTGTAAAGAAAAAAAAGTGTGTAACGTGTAACTTCATAGCTGCTGTACCATGGCGTTGGTTCCATGTGCTTGTGCGTTCTTTCTCTCTTCACACTCACACACATGCACACACACACACACACACATACAGCAATATTCCTGAGAAACCTGTTCATCCTACATTCTGCTGGCTCTGTTAAACACTTTACTTAAAAGGTGAACGCTTGTGCAAAGATGGCAGTACAATAAAAAAGTGTGTGTGAGTGTGTGTAAATGTGCATGAGAGAAAGGAAGTGGCTAATGGGAATGAAACTTCTTCCATTTTTCTCTGACAGTTTTAAATGTGGATCTTTATTAGGTAATGAGGAAAACATTATGGGCCCTGTATGGCAACCTTACTAAATACTGGACCACTTCACAGAGTTATGGAGTCTGAGGCAAAGGCATGTGGCTGACAACCCCAAGGAGGTCGGGGAGGGGGAAAGGATGGTTAAAATAGCAGCCTGCACCAAGTTTGAGTTGAATCGCAAGGAATCTTGTGTGCAGCTAGTCACATCTGCTTGGCACCAGTTACTGCAAGGATTTTCACATTTACCAAAGTTGTCACTTTCTACCATGCATCATATTCAAGAAGGAATTTGGTAAAACCTGCAACAGTGCAGCTGCTACATGAAGTTAAACGTGGCTGTGCTTCACATGTTGCCTAAATCATTCACCATTAAGTACTTTTCTAGTTGTACTTTTTCTCAATTCATTGAGATTTCATTAATGGTTTGTTCTCTTGATGTAATGAACAGTAAGTTCACATGTTGTTAGCTGCAAGTGAGCCCTAAAATAGTATCTGTGCTTGTTTCCTTGTTCTCTGACAAAATTAGCAATCTGCAAAAGATCATCTAGTGATTTTAACAATCTGTGCTGAGGATCTATTTAACTTATGTCTATTATAAACATGCATACCTGCACTTGTCAGCCAAGTGCTAAACTTAAGGGTAACATACGTACACATCACTAGACTGTACTAGTTCTGTAATGTACTTCCCCTGGGGAAGATCTAATTTTGAGTTGCAATATGAAAAGGAAGCATCTACTTTCTAGAATGCAAATGGAATCAAGAGTCCTTCATAGGTGGAGAAGCCATAGGTGGAAAGGGCAGAAAATAAGGTATCGAATACATATTCCTGTGGCAGAGAATAGCCTAACTGCTATTTCAGTTTTTAGCTTGTCCTCACATGTTTGAGTGAACCTGTTTAGGTAAACGAGGCTGTAGGCTGATTTTTTCTACCAATCTAATGGTGCCGGTTAAAGATAGGGATTATTGCTGGTAGTGCAGCCAGTTAGTGATAGTGAGGGTGCTTCTTAATCTGCCTTAGGTGCATCGGTGAAGTTACTTCAGTGGAGTTTGCCACATCCACCTGTGGCAGTAAACAGCAAACCTGGCTCTTATGTTGCTATTTAATTAATTTGGGCCACATATGCTCTTTATCCTAGGCTGATCTGTGAGATGGGGAATCTACAGCTGAATGTTGCTGTCTTTTTTAACAAATGCAGCTGTTGTGAAAATCTGTGTCTGTCTACTGCTTAAGAAATCACTGCCAAAATAAGCAGCCAGAAGTATGCTTACTGGGCCACTGGAAAGATAACCATTGTGTAGGGGAATGCTTTGTTTGTGGAAACTTCTGGTGTGGCTTCATCATCCTTTTTCTATGACCCGGTGATCCCTTGCTGCTGTAATAGCCTTTTGGGGCCATAGAAAGCCCTGCTGCTGCTATGAGTTATGCTGAGAGATCAGCATGGCCTGGAACTGGCCCAAAACTGGGGAAGTAGAAAGATTCCCTACAGCTGTTTTTGCACACTCTTCATAAATAAAACTGTGCTGATCTTGTCAGTAGTCAAGGATATAGGTCTGTATTTTGTAGCCATTTTTGACAGCTATAATTCTACAGAGCAACTCTGGAAAAAAAAAAAAAAAAGTTTTGTATCTAGAAGTGAATTTCAGTCTCTTCTCTTGCCATTCTCTCCTGCTTAAATAATGACCATTAACTAGTAAGTTTTTCTTTATGGTGAAGTAATCCAAAGCAAGCAGTATATGCTATGTTTGACATGTTCAGTGCTAAGGGGTTTTGGGTTGGGTTGTTTTTTTTTTCTGCCCAGCAGTGTGTGCAGATATATTTTATCAACAGATAGTTGTTTGTTACTGCCTAGTACCAAGATGAAAAGGGAGGGAGAGAATCAACCAAAACCAGTCAGGAGATACCACTATTGTAGGCCAAACCAAGTAGCTGCTGAGGCAGCGAGAGCTTCTTTGAGACTGACCAGATTTCACCAGAGGAACGGGGAGAGGGGGAAGAAACTTTGTGTTCTCAGCTTTTTCCAGATAAAGCCTTAGTTTGATTAGTAGTCACTAATATCAACTATGCAGATAAGTATATATGTGTTTCAGTGTTACATGCATTCGTTCCCTCAGCTACCGCTCTTAACACATGTAAGTTTTACCCAAAGAAAATTTAATATTTTTTGAATGTCTGTACTGCAGAAGTCTTTTTTGCTAACATGAAGAAAGAAATTTGTATTTTAAAAAAGAAACCCTTTCACTGGTGCAACACCTAGTGTCAAGTGTCATGAAGTTGCTTCAAGAGGGAAGCTAAAACCACTTCTTGTGGCAGGTTTTAGTCTGAGAGTTTTTTAGAATGTTCAGCTCTCAAAATTGGTTTAAGAAGCCGCAGCAATGTTTTCTTAATGTGCAGATTTGATTTGGGGAGAAACTAATGAGACATCCCAGGCTTCCTTCCAGTATCAGAAGTGAATTAAATCAATTTCTCACTTAAATGATGTTGCTTCTTAACAAGGGGAGTTATCAGCTACACAGTAGCTGGATCTTTAAATAAAAGCTAAATCATGATCCCCAGGTGTTTCTCGCTGATCTTTTAGTCTTGTTGTATGTAACTACAAATGACAATTTAGCTCAGAGGTGAGAACTGTAGTGTGTGTTTTATTGCTGGTGATTCCATCATGTAGCAATTAGTACCATGTTCTTGCATAGTTCTCAAGATTCATACTGGAAATAGATGGAGAAAATTTTATTTTTGGACTACTGTTTAAAAAAATCACAAAATTAATGACTAGTTTTTATCCCCAAAAGTCTACTGAGCAGTGTTATATTTTAGCAGTTAAATTAGTATCCTTGTTATGTGGTTTGTCACTTGTGGTCTTCTTTTACTGAGGGTTAGAAGCATTTCATAAGTAATCCTTAAAATGTTGGCATTCAATAGCTTGAAGTCAGGTGCTTGTAATAAAAGGGCATCTGTGATGATAACTTCTGATGTTACAGAAGCACTATGTTCAGAATGTTTAATTGGGAAAAAAAAAAAAAGTGTGGGTGCAAGTCCCTTTAGTTCTGCCTGATAAAGAGCCTCAGTCAAGAACAGAGCAACCAGATGCTTGCCTGCACAGTGAATGGTGTTGGGGATCAGCCCCTTCAGAGAGGTTCGGCCTCAGTATCCTTTGTTTCGTGTCACTTTTAGTGTGTAAATATATCTATTTTAGCAAGTTTGGATATAGCCAGCCTGACTGTACCTGACTTGCTGTGATCCCCAAGACAATGAAAGGCTGAGAAACAGTTGGACAGTGTTTTCCTGCCTTTCACTAGGTAGCTCAGAACAAACAGCTGGCCAGGTGTTTACTTACAAATGTTAAATCACAGCTAGAATTCTTTGCATTCCTCAGCTTCAAGCAAGAGAACGCGCAGTTACTACCAGATGACAGACCTGTTTGAGTTGATGATTCCTGTGATGCTTTTACTCAGTCCAGCATGAATTTGTACAAGGTCACCTTCCTCTTAATTTTCATGAATTTTGGATCATAGGGCTTAGTGATGGAGAGAGGATCCTAACCGTGTGCTTACCCGATGAGCTCTCCAGAGAAACTCCCCTGTGAAATGCTCCCCTCTTGTGACAACAAGACTGAACAACCAAATGCAGCTACGTTTGGGTGGTTAGCACCACTTTCATTTGGATTTTTAGGGAGGTGTGTTCCAATAACTTCAAGGGATACTGTGTTTTAGATGTGTGATTTCTTTCCTCTCTCCTTATAAAACTGGACCTGAACACGAGTTTTGAGTTGTTGGGTTTTTTTGTAATAATCTCAGGACCTGAAAGATTGTAGCATTTAGTGTGTCTTAAAAATGATGTACTGTACCAGCCATGGATTTGTAAATACACCTGTCTCCCTTTTTTTGTATTTTAATTTTTTAAAAGTGTGTAAGGCTCTTTGCCAGAGGAACTGGTGCCTGCTCAATTTCCATCCTGAACTGAAGCAGGAAAAGGAAGAAGCTGCTGCCACAAAAGCCTGCATCAGTTCCAAATGTGTATCTTGTTCTGGTCAGTTTAATGGCTGTTAGTCTCTTGTCCGTTGGGAAGTTGGTTTGTTCCCCTGCACGTTCCCGGTTGTGGCTAGCTGAGCCCTGTCAGGGAGACTAGTTTTAACTCTCTTCTGTGTGACTACTACATGTTTTCACTCCTTCCAGATACTCAGGTTTGCTATCCCTGAGAAGTCTGATGTTTTCAGAGGTCAGGACTATTGGCCCTCTGCAAGAATAGCTGGAGAGCATTTCTCATGAGTACTTTGGTCCAAACACAGTCATAGGGTTTGTATCCTGCGAACCTTGCAGGTAAGGCCGCCTCCACCTGTTCCGAGAGGGACTCACCCTTTTATTTTCTGCTTTCCTGAAAGGAGTGCTATTTTTTTGGCAGCAGACTTTGCTCTGGGATCCAACCTTGTCAGCAGACCTGTTCTGCAGTAGGAGCCTTACTCAATTTGGCGTAGCTGTTCCCTGTCCCTGACTGCGACAGGCTTTTTTCATGAGTGTACTTTTTTTTAATGTGTCATGTGTCTGTGCTGTATTAAATAAAGAGGAATGTACATATTAGCTCTGTCTCTTGTGATTTCTCAGAAAAAGATGCAAAAAGGTTTCGCTTGGAGGGTTGTTGCTTGGGCCTTTTTGTTGGGTTTTATTGTTTTGGGGTGGGTGTGGGCTAGCTTCAGTCAGGACAATCACAAAGGCAAAGGAAATACTTCCACCGAAGCACAACATTTCAAAATAGAGCAGTAGCCGGGAGCAGTTGTTTCGGAGTGCGCTCCTCCACGGCCAAGCCTGGCGTCCCGCTTGGTGTTGGAGCTGAAGGACACCGGCCCCGTCCCCGCCGCGCCGCCATCTCCGCCCGGGCCCCCGCCTTCCCAGGGGGCTGCGCGCCGCGCGCGGGCGGTGCTGCCCGCTCAGCGGCCCGCCACGCTTTCCATAAAAGGCGGAGGGGCGGGGAGAGGAGAGAAGTTGCTGCCCAGCAAAAGCTCTCCCGCGGCAGCCCCAGTGGCCTAATGGATAAGGCATTGGCCTCCTAAGCCAGGGATTGTGGGTTCGAGTCCCATCTGGGGTGGGCGTTTTTTTCTCTCACCTCCGCGGGCCGGACGCCTCTCCGCCAGCCATCCGACAGCGCCGGCCCTTCCTCTCTCGCGATTTCCCGCGCCCTTGCCCCTAACGACCGGCAGATCGTTTTAAGACCGCTGAGGCCTCAGAGACACGCGTGGGCTGCTGGGGGGGGTAGGGCTCACGCGTGGCCCCATTCGGCATCCCGACGGCGGGAGGAGCCCCTCGGGCTCGTCGCTCTGACCCAGCGGCCCAACGCCGGCCTCGCCTCGACCCCCGGCGCCGACCCTGCCCCGGTGGCGGTTGGGGAACGGGGGAAGGGCGGGCAGCCGCTCGGCTCGGCGCTCGGCAGCCCGCCCCGCCGCGTCTATTGGCCGCCCGAAACGAGGCGGCGGCGCTCCATTGGTCGGCGGGCGGGGACGGCGGAGGTGGTGGCGGGGGGGAAGATGGCGGCGCTGGGCAGCCCGCTGCGCACCTTGCGGGGGCTCCTGCGTGAGCTCCGCCACGCCACCGGCCGGGCGGGCCGCCCCTACCGCCACACCGCCGCCTACCAGCACGTCGTCGCAGCCTTCCGCGCCCACCGGGTACGCGTGGGCTTCGCCTTCCCGCCGCGGGGGCGGCCGCTGCCCCGCAACCCCAAGCGCGGCAGCCGGCGGGCTCGGCGAGAGGTGAAGTCTCCGCGGCCTGTTCTCTTCTCTCGGCAGGTCACCAGCGAGAAGCTGTGCCGGGCCCAGCAGGAGCTGCATTTCCAGGCTGCCACCTACCTCTGCCTGCTCCGCAGCGTCCGGGAGCACGCGGCGCTTCACCGGGAGTACCACGGCAAGGGGGAGCGCTCGCCCGAGGAGGTCGCCGGCCTGGTGGGCTTCAGGTTGCCTCAGCAGCCGGGAGGAAAGGGCTAAAGGCGGTTCCGCAGCGTGTCACCTATTTAGTCCTCAATAAATATCCTAGAGTTGTCGAAACGGGCCGGGGTTCCTCGCTTGCGTTTTGTGTGAGTTGGAGGTGGCCGGTGTGGTGTGAAAGAGCCGTAACTGGGAATCCCCCCCCCCCCCCCCTCCCCGGTTTACCAAAAGTACCCGACCCACTCCTTCCATCTGGACGCGTGGCGTGGCGGGCAGCCTCCACGCAGAAAGAGAAAGGCTGTTTGCAGCGGAAGAACGTGACAACGCCCACTGCTAGGCTGTCTAAGGAGTTGTAAGGGTTGTTGGTTCCCCCCCCCCTTAAAATCTGTCGGTAAGAGAATTTGACTGCTGGAGGGGTTTTCCAGCCACGTCCTTTACGTGGGGAGTTTGCCGCTCTCCCAAGAGCATCAGCACTTTCTTTGGAACATTAGTGGATTCTGGCATGCACTGCAGTAGCACAAAACAAACTTCTTTCATCTCGGAGATTGTTTTTGTCCCATGGTGGTGAGCTAGTGGCAACAATTCAGAGAAATGAATACCACTTAACGAATTACATGTTGCTCAGCATGTCTGAGCAGTCAGCTCTGCAACTGTCAGCTTTCTATGCTGTTCTTGCACAGCGTGACTCTCAGAAAAATTTAATTAGTGAACTGATTACTGACAGTTACACTAGGTACACAAATCAGGCTGCCGTTTTCTTGCTTGTCTTGCAGTCCGGAACATAAAGTTTCTTTTTATAAAGAAATAAATTGGCTTGAATTGTTGCTGCTTTCTTAGAGGAAGGCTGAATAATATGCAAGAAATCTGTAATACAGATGACTGAACAGTGGATAAAATGTGAGTCTTGTTTACATGGGGGAGGAACTACAAGCAAGGCTAACGAGAGTTCTTGGGTTTTTTTTTTTGTCTACGAAGGAAAACAAAGTATTCTGTCAGAAAAGCACTGCAAATAGAATTACTTCATCTACACGTATGTATTTTCCTTCCTATGTATTTAAAACTCATGAATAGTTTAATCCCCAAAGCACAATAGATCCTTAAAACTGGGGAGATTTCGGCAATTTAGGCAAGGTAAGGAGACGTGAACTGTAAGTTTGAAGGTTCTGTAGACCAAAAATCTGAATTGCAATTCTTGCAGTGTCTCACTAGTTAAACAGTGGTGGTTTTCTGGAAAAGTGTTGGTATCACAGATGGGAAAATACCAACCTATTTGTAGATCAGTGGATTAAGTTTATGGGAAGTGACCATACCCTGAGAATGGCTGTGATGTATTTGTTGTTCTGAGTTATTTAATGCAGCTGCTACATTCTGCAATTTACTTTAAAGATGGACTAATTGTTTATTCCATCCAAAGCCTGTAGTATATTGCTCCAGAAGAAAAATAAATGGCTCACTGAAGAGAGTTCTGGTAAAAAAAAAAAAAAAAAAAAAACAAAAAACAACGCTGAAATTTGGCCAGAAATGAATGAAAAAAACAATCTTTGCTCTTTAAATAGTACCTACTAGAGCTAAAGCTTGTATGGTGTGGGTACAAATAGCTAAAATGTCTCTATAGAGAAGATTTTAACCTGTATCTGTATCACTTCCAGTTACTTCCCCTTCAATCCAAAGTAACGTAACTAAAGTAAATGTTAAAGAAAAAACAAAGCCAGGGCACGTTCTGAGTGGCTGAGGAGCACTGGCTAGGGAATCTTTTCCTAAACTTGTTATAAAGGACTCCTTGCCAGAGCACTGCATCTTCCCTTGTGACATCCAGGTAACTGGGGGAGATGCTGGAGGGGGTTTTTCTTACTGGGTTTTTACATTGGCTTCTCTCTCTCTCGAACCAAGCTCACCTTTCCAGTTGAACGTGACCCCCTCCCTGGCTGTGGGCCGCTGGAACTGCTCCTTGCGACAGTCACTGACGGATTTTGGGCACTAGATGGCAAGAGGAGGGTTCGGAAAGGGGCAGCCACAAAAAGCACGAGTTGAGATCGGTAGAAATCGTGAAATTTTTTTTTTTTTTTTTTTTTTCTCCCGAGGCCGGATCTCGACGCTCCGTGGGTTGAAGTGGCTGCAACAACCTAGCTTCGATGCTAAGGGAGATCCCCCGAGAAGCGGGTGTTTTTCTCACCGCGGCCACCGTAACTGCACTTGGGAGCTTGAGAGTTGGGAGCCGTGACGGCGGTGCCGAGCGCCAGCCCCGTGACGGGGGCTGTGTTTAAGCAGCCTGCGCCATCGCCGCCAAGCCCAGACGTACGGCCCCGCTCCCACCAAGCCCCCCCCACGCGCTTCCCGGCTCGCTCCCGTCGCTCCGCCAGCGTCCCCGCCAAGCGACGACGTGCCTGCCCCGGGGGGACGCGCCCGCGCGACACCCGTCACACCGCCCAGGCTTCCCGGCAGCTCTGTAGTCAGTCGGCCCAAGCCACGTGCGCCGGCACGTTAAAATTAACCGTCGCGCAACCGCCCCGGTTGCGTCTCCCCTCAGGGCGGGAAGAGCCCCGGACCCGGCCACCGCCCCGGAGACCGGGACGTCACAGCGGCTAACGCGAGACCGCCCGGCCAATCAGCGCGCCCCAGGGGCCCCGCCCGGCGAGAAGCCGGGCGACCCAATCAAAGAACCTCTCCGCGCCGTGCGTCACCGGCCGACCGCCGCCCGCCCTGGCCAATCAGCGGGCGGTTAAGGCCCCTCCGCGCTGACGTCGCTGAGAGGGCGAGGTGGAGTGGAGGGAGGCGGAGGGGAAGGAGGCCCAGGGGCGCGTGCGCGCGGGTTTCCGTTACCGCTGGCGCGCGCGCGTGGCAGGCGTGAGAGGAAGCGGGAGGAGCGGGGGGAGGGGAGGCGGCGGCGGCGGCGGCGGCACCGCGGTCGGCGCGAGGGAGGTTTCCCGCCCCGCTTTCCACCGGGAGCGCGGCGCAGAGGCAGCGCCCGCTTTCCTCCCTCCCCGCGGCGCCGGGGGAGCGGCCCCGCCAGTGACGCGAGGGGGAGGGCTGAGCGCCGTGCCGGGCCTCGGGCCTTGTAGGCCGCTGTCGGCGTGACTCGGCCGGGCCGGGCCGGCCCCTCGCGCGCTCAAGATGTCGGCGCAGGCCCAGATGCGCGCCATGCTGGACCAGCTCATGGGCACGTCCCGGGACGGTAAGTGCCCCCCGGCCGGGGCGGGGGGAGGGGAGGAGAGGAGGGGGCGGAGCCGCCGAAGCCCTGGAGGTTGGCGGCGGCACCGGGCGGCCCGTTCGCTGCGATGGGCAGGCCCCGGGGCCCGCTCGCCGCGCGGGGCCGGGCCTGCCGAGGCCGTAGGTCAGCGGCGGGGTGGGGGCCCTCGGCGCTGCCGCCCCCCCGGGGCTCGGGGGAGCCGGGCGCCGCCTCCCCCCGCGGAGCTGCCAGCGCCAGCCGATGTCCGGGCGGCGGGAGGCCGTGCTGCCGTTTCAGCTGCTGTTTGAAGAGCCGCTCCCCGCGGCGCCCGGGACTCGCAGCGGAACTGCCGCCGCTAAAGGCGCGCCCGCGGAGCCTTCCCGCGCGTCTCACCTCTGAGGGAGACGGGAGACAGCGGTTTGCTACGTTCAGAACATGGGCGGGAACAAACTAAAAAATCCCCCCCAAACCAGCAGCCGCTTCAGTAGAGCAGGGGTGGAGTGTTTTTTTTTTTTTTTTGTGTTAGTATAGCTTTGTCTAAAGTCTGACCCAAACCATCATTTCAGTCAGCAGGTGGGTATGGCTGTTGCTTTCTGAAAGAGTGTAGATAACCCAAGTGAGCGAACTCTTTTAAAAACAAACAAGCCCCGGACAGCTATTTAAAAGCTTAACATCTAGAGGCAGTAATCCCAAGAGGGAGATAGTAGATGTACAGTCAGGTTTCAGATCACTCTGTGGTCACGTAGTGAGCTGAAGATTATCACTCTGTAAAGCTTCTCAGAATTTTTATTGGGGTCCGTGGCGATCAACCTGAAAGTTTGAACTGGTCGTTGCCCATAAATCCAGATAGTTTGGGGGCTGCTAGAAATTAGCAGTTCCTGTTGTGCCGTGTATTTTATTTATAAACGAGAGAATACAGCACCTGAGGGTAGACAGCTATTAGAGATTATTTGAATGTTCTGAATGTTGTACTCACTCTTGCAGATGTGTTACTTGTTTGTTGAAGCTTCATGATGAATTAATGGTTACTTGTTTTCCCATGCACCGAATAGGATGTATGAACTGGGATGTACCTCGTATGTGCCAGTCATTTGTTAGTACTGGGATAATGTGATCTGATGGCTTTTTTTTTTTTTTTAGTCTAATCTCGAATTTTAAGTAAATGTAACTAGTTTTCACATACCCCATATATGATGAATGCTTTCTACTAAGTGCATATAATTGTTTTAAACAGTGATGTGATAATGTCATTGGAAAATTTTTGTTCTTCAAGAGCAAGGCTGGCTAGTCAGTAGTCATGGTGCAGGATCTGATTTAGGGTGTTTTTGTATTGTTCCAGAAGATTTTTTGAATACTTGTTGTGGCTGTGCATGTCGAAGTGCTTGGCAGAGTAACATTGTGCTCATGAAACTCAAGTCTTTGTGTTGGCACCTAGATAGCTGTCTCAGAGCTACCTCAGACTACACATAAGGTTTAAAGCAGGGGGAGGCTATTTCAATTTATGAATGTATTTTCTGTTGGGTGATTTACTTGTGACAGCTGCTTAAAAATGCCAAGTGACTAAGAGCTAAACCAGGAAAAGCAATTTCAGACTAGCTTTCCTTTAGCTTTGTGAGAAAGCAGTTATTTTATTGATAATTGTATTCCCCCTTCCCACCCACCCTGTAATTCCCAAACCGCATGTGCTGATCTGTTTAGAAACTAACTGGCTTGAGAGGAAGCATTTAAGTGAAATTGGCAGAATGGAGAAGGATAAGGAGAAAATACTGCAAAACTGGCTTCCATTACTGGATTAAGTAGGGAGTTGAGGATCTCAGTGTAACACCATTGTAGTTTAAAAAAAAAATAAAATAAAAATTCCAGTGGAGCATTATTTAAACCAGAGTGGGCACAGGGATTGAAAAATCATCCTTTTCTGCAGAGGTGGTACTTATTAAATTCAAGGCCAGGCTCA